GTGGAGGCGGTTCAAAGTTCTCGATTAAAAATGTCGGGTACCTTAATTGCAAGGTAAGTGAAGTGAGTCAGTCACACGTTTCGACCGCTTCGACATAATGGAAGCATACTGAAATCAAAACTGGAATGTTTTATGTTAGGCACATCGCTCGTTCATATTATAACTTTATGCAGTTGCGAGCGCCGTAAAACACTTACCGAAACAAAAAATCAAAGAAACCCCTATCAAAACTACTAGGCACATATCATTATTCTCAATCATTTTGAGATTTGAGTACCACTAAAGCCTCTAACTGGATTGGTATTCTCACCAAATACACAATGAACATTCATTTAAAAGCACCGTCACCTATGTCGAAAAGGTGTGAGCATAAATAGTTTTTTAAAAGTAATTTGTAGGAATTACACACTGCTTAGTATAACTTTTTTTTTTTTTACTCCACCGAAAAAAAGTTTTTTCTATACAAATCTTCATTGGTGTTTTTGTCACAGATACCGTAAAGAAGGCATTCGATTCTTGCCAACCTTTCGTGAATAGCTCATAGATAGATAGATAGATAGATAGATAGATAGATAGATAGATAGATAGATAGATAGATAGATAGATAAATAGACAGGTAAATAGATAGATAAATAGATAGATAAATAGATAGATAGATATAGAGAGGTAGTTGGTGGTTGGCGGGTGCTCTGGCGTGGTTTGCTCCTGCTTTCCTATCAAACGTCTGTCGCCCTCTTCTCCCCTCCATTCTTGTGTTTGTTACTCTTCTGTAACACCTCTAATCTTTGGCACTTATATGACCTTATTGTGTTGCATGTGCCGTAAAACACTTACTAAAACTAAACAAATAAAGAGATAGAGAGATAGATAGACAAAAAGATTGGGAGACAGATTGATAGAGAGATAGAGAGATAGGGAGATAGATATATAGATAGATGGACAGATAGATAGATCGATAGATGGGTAGGTAGGTAGATAGTTAGACATAGAGAGCTAGAGAATTAGAGAGATAGAGAGCTAGATAGACAACGAGATAGATAGATAGGTAGATAGAGAGCTAAAGAGCTAGAGATAGAGAGCTAGAGAAAGATAGATAGATAGACAGATAGACAGATAGATAAAAAGATAGATAGATAGATAGATAGATAGATAGATAGATAGATAGATAGATAGATAGATAGATAGATAGATAGATAGATAGATAGAGTGAAATTCAGTTCTAATTCCCCCCTCTCCTTTCTTGGGATAGCGGTGAGGATTGTGGAGCTCAAGTTGATGAGAGACGTGCAGGCTGCAAGGCAGATAGGTGTGAGTGTGGAAGAGATCATCGATGATCTACAAGGCAAAGGTAAGCTCGGAACATGATGAGGTAACACACACACACACACACACACACGCACACACACACACACACACA